ATGATAGTTGTGATGAAAAATGGGATTTATCTAGTTTTACAACAGATCAACAGACTCTTGCTATTGAAAATATGAATAAATTCTGGACGGAACACAGAGCGCAACAACAGAAAACTGAATAAGTTACGATTTTAGACAAATTACATTTTTGTCTGACACTGCAAAAGACGAGCTACACTTTGTCAAATCTATAAACTGCGCTACATACGCTTCTTTTACACCATAAGAAGTGACGAGGGTTCTTAAAAACGAGCGATGTTACAAACTTCAGGTGTGTCTAGGATTGTAGAAATTCGATCAGTATAAATTGCTGTTGTGAACATGACTATGTATAATCTTTGTTATTAAAAACTACCCAGAACAAAGGAAAGGAGAATGGAAACCATATCTCTCTTCTAACACATATCCTAATCTATTAAAGAATGGTTATTATGCCACCCGAAACAAATATTCTTTCAAAACTTTAATATATTCTATTCGGTGTCATCGTTTATATTGAATCACCTTCACCTTCTGACAGCTCAGATGAATGTAAGATTATGCTCCTGTCAGTCTCTTTTAGTGCTCATGAATCTTTAGCGATCGTGTCTCTTACATTTAGCTTTGACATAAAAACGGTTGGAAGACCATCGGTTAGATGAGCACCATGAGCTAGGAAAATAATGATGAGAAAAGATGACATCGACTTAGGGTAAGCTGCTTGTATGTAGTGCACAGTGGGTATTTTTCCATAGAGCCGGCGGACAGCTCCTTTTTTTGAGTTAAAAAATGAATATGGTCTTATTATGCGTCAGATATTAATAAAAGTAAAAAAAACTCGAATTAAAAACCTGTGGAAAAGCCGAGAAGCAAAACTGCATAAAGTTGCATGCACAACAGACACAGGACATCGGGACGAACAGTTTGACATGAAAATGAATGAGATTGGACCTTAGCGCTAATTAGCGTTGTGATTTTACTGAATATACCCATTTTTCAGCATATTTCTCATGTTTCCTTATTTTCTTTACCGAATAACTCCGTAAGGAAAAGTCGTAGAAACAAAATTTTTGCACCATTAGATAGAGTGTTGAATGAACTATACCTGGCACTATTTAAATCACACAAAACCTCACCTTCGATTTTTGGCCAAATGTCGGCCTGTATGACCACTGTGTAGTGTTTGCGTCTTCTAGCCTACAGTTTCGTTGCTGTGTTTAATCTTCGATTGTCGGATTTGAACTGATGGGCAGGTGCAATGCAAATCATCAGAACAAAGAGAAACGTGTAGTAGCTAGAACAAAGTGACGATCAGGTCGTTCTCGGTTAAAAATACGTTTAGTAGAAATTATTGTGTACAGTCAGTTACAAAACATATTTTTACTTTAAGCCTGGATTCAATGGAGAATCAATTTGTTAGGAATCGAGTAGCCGTCCAACAATCTTAATCACTATTATGTAACGTTTTTCTTCAGGACCACGAATAATTCTAGATCGGTCAGAGAATCCTGATTTAGATGAAATCTTACAAGTTCTTTGTCATCTTCCGAAGTATTATATAATTTTTTAAACGAAAAGGATCCCTACAAAAAAACCAGCGTCTTACCTGTCGCATCAGTGTTATCGTGTCAAAAGGAGATTTTTTTTGGCGCTCACCTAAGAGTTGACTGAATTAATGTGTTACAGAAAAATACTGCAACACTGATTTTCGACAAGTTTAATATTCGTTTTCGTTTTTGGAAAAAACGAATCAACAAAGCAAAAAAATGGCAATAATGATTGACAGTGTAATTGAAACGCAACATGAAATAAATGACAAGAAACAGGGATTATTGTAAACCGTGAATGTTACCTTTTATAAGCTTGATCAAAATGGGATTCAAACTGTAGCAATTCTATTGAGACGTCATCCGACAATCCTCTTTGACAGTCGGTGACAGTTCAGATTGACAATTTTGATCATGATAGAAACATGAAGGTGCGGTCTCATCGGTCAGACAAATAGGATAGAATACAAACTAAAGGATGTCGACAAAAGAAATTAAAATTTCTATTTCGTAAGCAGACTTAGTGTGATTTGCATTGCGCCTAGTTCATTCTGTTTTGCAAACTAACTAGTGCCTTTTCGATTCCAGATTTGTTCCACTGTCAGAGATGTCATTCGTGCCCAGATAAATAATGGTTTGAAAAATATATTTGTAGTATTTACAAGAACCGTTTTTTATGTACGAATCAGATTCACGATATGTTTTGCGTAGTGAGAGTGAAAATAATCATTCAGACATGTAGTGTCCTGACTACCCCTTTTTACGTCAACACAAGAAGAAATAAATAATTACAAGTCAATCTGACGTGAAATCAGCTGTTCAAAGGTTAAAGAAGAACAAGTGACGTCTTTAAAAGCTTTTAAAGCGCTTACTTATTCTTCGAAGAAGTTATTAAAGCAATTATTTCGGAAACTAAGGTTTTTCAAAAGAGAAGCTAGCTGCTTCGTATCTCTTTAACACTAGGAAAATTTGGTCGGTATATCGAGTGCAATCAGAAAACCAATGTCGATTATAGACTTGCAAGATTTGTAGTGTATCTGTAGAGTGTCAGGTGGTCAGGTATGACAATTGTCATTAAGACTGTCTCTCTGTGATTCGAGGCAAAGTTCGTGTCCTTCGACGAGTTCATAGGAAAAATTTAGAGATTGTTCGGTTTTGTTGAGTACTCAACCTACTAAAACTGTAAGATGGAAGAAACTTCTCTCGGTATACTGAGCGGTTTCAAAAAACAGTGCGATAAACCGACGATGCTCAATATTAAAACTCAGCATGAGTTTTGTTAGAATCAACCGACAATTTCTGCGTAATATTGTTGTTTATTTTTCTAGATACTGAAGTTTGAAAATCTTGACTTGCATTTGATAAAGTGGTTATTATTGAGTGACCACATATGAATACGCTATTGTTTTTACGACATATATTATGACGTTCAGACTTATCGCCACATTAGTCACCTAATGTTTACGAAATCCATAATCTGACAGAGAAAGCGCCAGATACTTGAATAACGTAATTATGCTTGTAAGTTAAAGCTCAACAGAAAACAGGTAAGAAAAGACTTTCTCCTAGTTTCAAACATCGGAAAGCTTTTTGTTTTGTAAAGAAGAACAGGAGGCTTATAGAAGCTCTGCTTTACAACGCTGTCTTATGCTCCGTGCATATGTTTAAGTTCATCCACGGTACATACAATGACATTGTCAGACTTTGATAAAAGTTTCATAGTTTGTTGGTCCGGAAGATATATACTACTTCAGTACCTAATTACTTTATGAGAAAAATATTTGACAGAAGAACAAAAGAAATGAGTGGCATAAACACAATACAGTATTAAGTATTTAAAAATTATGAATGTTAAAGGCATAGTTTGTATACTAAGTTTAAATCACACTCACTCGTTAGAAACAATTTCTTTTACTGTCAAAAAATTTCTTTAAAAAAATGAAAGCAAAAGCAAAGCTGTTGCTCAAAACACATGCATGTATCAATTCTCCAAATGCTCTGTTGTTCTATTGCCCATGTGATTTCTCTCGTCGAAACTTCTAAATCGTTCAATTACACGACCGAATGATGCATATCAATATGATTTTAAACCATTTACAACTACGTATCAATGAATTTCACGAATTAACTTGTGATATACAAAGTCGAGACCATTGTCTAATGCTACATGCTCTTCACAAGTGAGGACCCGTTTTGAGAAGTTTTTAACTACACTTACACCGTGTTATGCATTCTGCTAAACACATGAGGATTGATGTCTATTCTACAGCATGTCCAGCTTTTCTGGTGGTCTCACTCTAAGTCTTGGCTCTCTGACAAACGAGTCCGCCAGGGTAGAGGTAACTCGACTGTGTAAGATAGTGTAGATCAAAACTATTCATCAGTCAATAGATTTGAGATAACTCACGTTTGTTGAATGTAATTCCACTGACGAGTATAATATTGATAATAATATTGCAGAGTGTCCGAGTTCGTGATGACCTTTTCCGTCGGCGAATGTCTGTAATTTAGAGCGAGACAAAGTATTATACAATAATTTGTGTATTCCTTCTAAGCGAATAGTCTGCTCAACGATGCTTAAGATCCTGCCGTTTGATATCGAAGCGATAAAAACCAGACTAAATAAAATTATCGAATATTTAATACAGACAATGCCACTATTGGGCGTAACTACATTAGATTGCTTAAAAGAATATATTAATAGTTGACCGACATTTATTAAAGTCAATACTCACCAAAATAAATAAATAAATATACAGTACAGAAGATTAAAAACACTTTTAACAGCGAAGAAAAGGGAGAGAATATTCAGACAGTACTATTTCGTCTATTAATACAAATTATTCAATTTAAATTGTATAACTAAGAAATCGAATAGTAAAATGGATATGAATGAATTTTTAACACGATTGAGTGACTCATTTCTTCATATATCAGATCCAAAATTAGCACAAACAACTGATATGTTGCAAAGAAAAGTTTATTAAATGAAACGGGAAAGACAGAAACAAGCAGTTGTTACCAGTGAAGAATATTACTTAATATACTAAGGGCTATCCATCTTAGCTGTTCAGAAAAATGACTTCTTCGCTTTTCGTTTGAATTGTTCCAGCGTCAAGAAATACCTCTCTCGCTCTTAGAGGCATTAAATTACGGGAAACTTCAATTTATTATATTATGTTTTGGTCCTGATAATTTTTTCAAGTAGCTATTTTATTCTTGAATAGTAAACAATTCTTTTAAGGGATGAGAACTAAAAATATTTGTGAAAACCATTCGGAAAGGCAGATTTCAACCTTTTCTGTTCGCACACGTTTTTTTAGAAAATCTAGCTAAATCTCAATTTTCTAAAAAAAACATAAATAGTAAAATACTGTAATGCCAACGAATTTTAGATTATTGATGATATCAGTCCTCTGAATCTAAAAACATTTTAACTTTTTAACAGATTAGCATAGAGTTCATAATTTAAACCTGCAGTACCATGGGGAGTTGTCGATGTTTTATAAAATATTTCCATTGACTTTTGACAACAATCTAAACATTCTGAAATTTGATCTAAATCATAATAAATAACAGCTAAAATGCTCCAAACATTGGCATACTGTTGTTGATCCACAGTTTCAGGAGTCAGTTGTTGATACAAATCAATTGCTTCTTGACAATAATCTAAAGCTAATTTATATTCATTATCCCAATAGTAGGCTACACCGATTGAATTATAATAACTAGCCAGTTCAATTCTTGATTTTCACGCGGTTCAATTGCTTCTAATATTCTTAAACATTTAAATGCATAGTCGAGTGCCATTTTACCATCATTTAGAGTATGATAGAGAGACATTATGGTACTGAGTAATTTATAGTTTAATTTTTGTTGTTCCTCTGTCGTAGTTGTTATAATTGAACATAAACCTAAACTTTTTTTGTAATATTTTAATGATAATAAGTAGAAACTCAGTTGATAATAACAAAATCCAATATCATGATATATCACTGCAAGCTCGTCATTTTTTGTTTGATTATCATCAATTAAGTCGATATAATATACTATATCATTTGTATCATCATCATCTTTCTCACTTTTATTTCTGTTTGGTAAGAGTCTAGAAAAATAGATGACCAATGAATCGCATAATAAAAGGAAAAGCTACAGTAAAGCATCGACTTTAATTCAATGTGAAACGATTCTAAATATAATGTACCATTCGTTTACATTTCAGTCCTGCGTCTCTCACTCGATTATGTCGAGTTTGATAGTTCTGAATTTTTATTTTTCATGCATTCGATATTCATTTCTCTCTCTCTATCTCTTGCCTTCTATGACATAATTTCCTCTACTCCTTCTCTCTCTATTCGTTTGGCGAACATCGATTCACATGAATATGAGAATCAAACAGTACGCATCCCTAGTGGAAGTCGTGTTTTGATTTCCTGGTCCAGAGCTTGCCCCACGAAATGTCCCAAGGTCTTGCGTTTCTTGGTCAAGAAAGCATCACTTCTTTTTCTTGCATTTCTTGGGGACAAGATCTTGGCTCAAGGAATCCAAGAAATTTAATTTCTTGTTCCAAAAAAATATAAAATCAGATTTCTTGAACCACGAAATAAACAAAGAAATCTCTTTTCTTGCCTAAGAGTTAAGCGTAAGAAACTTAACTTCTTGCCCAAGAATCGGACTTTTTAACGTGAATTTTGAAGAACGATAAAGAAAAACATGTATTATGCGTTACTATAGCAATCTGAAACAGCTTTAACTTTTCAATAAAAATTATTAACAGGCTAGAAGTTTCTTCATGAAAGAAATTTAGCATATTGATTCAGAGACCGACCAAACGCCCATTATCGAGATAAGTGTTAGTGGGAGTTCGCCGCTGTAACAACGAGAGCAATAACGGCTGTTTATCTGGAAAATATCGCTAGAAATTCCAGTGTATAGCCATTTTGATCTACCTCAAAGCTCGATTTGTCGACACTATGTCAAAAAAATTTAATGCAATTTTTCAAACAAAGAATAAAATAAACATTAATCATATCCAATGCGATTTATTGTGGCAAACTCCTGGGATCGGACATCGTAGAAGATTTAAGAGAGAATGCTCGGCGATCAGTGTTCGCTCATAAGTCTGTGACCAAGGTGTCCTTTTAAATTGTGAAACTACCAGGAGATTGCCCGTTGGCTCCGCTCTCTATGGTAAAATTTGGCAATCACTAGGCCTTTTGCATCTAGACTTATGGCTATAACACTAGAGAGGTCTATGTTTTTTTGGCCAAAATTATTTGTACGTTTGATAAAAAATTTTTTCACGCTGTATAAGCGTCGACAAAATATGAAAACTACATCAATAGATAGAAGAGAGCGCGGGCTACATTTTGGTAAAAAAAATAATTTTAAAAAGCTTTTTCCTTAGGGTGAAAACACGACTTTAAGCCAAAAGTGCCATACTCTTCAGTGCAGCTCTCCATCTCAGGTATGAGTGACTGAGAAAAAAATTCTGATTAAGCCATTCGAAAGAGCGTCCAAAGCTGAGTAAGATAAATATAGTGTGGAAGTTAAGTGAGAGAATTTGACCCATCTTTTAATATTTTGGATCTTGAGGCTATTTTTGAAATATCTTTTCTGCACGGGACGGTAAACATTTTTGGGATATGTTTGCGCCATCGTGCAGTCAAGTAGTTACTGTATAGGTATATGAAAAGAGAAACTTAGACTTTTTAAGTTCAGAGGGAAAACCAGTTTTCCAGAAACTCCAAAAAATCTCCGAAACTTTTCTTAATAAGTCATGCTTGTATCTTCACGTATGACGTTAAAAGAGTGGGAATCATTAAGGTAGAGTACAAAGGTTTAATTATGATAATGTGAAGAACTGGAACCGTAACATTATCGAATGAGTATGCGGGAATAATGAGCTATTTTCACGTCCTGATGAGGTCGCTGCATATGGTCACGGTTTTCTTGCGTTCTGTTTACAGAATACATGCAGTCATTCGGCCAGCGTTCAAGGCGTTTAACGGCCAACACATAGCATCATCACCCGGATGTGAATATGACTCATTCTACTTCTATTCTTTATTATAAATAAAATGTGTGACGAAAATTGCAAAAAAAATGAGTTTCTGTAACAAGCTTTGTACACATGTTTATTTTTAATTTTGTTTTGTGTTGCCTCTTCGCTGTTTAAATTTTATTACTTGGCTGAAGTTGTTTGAATGATAAAACAAAACGTGAAATAAATTCCTTTCTTTAGTATGCTCTAAAAGGTGTTTCTTCTTTCTAAATTTTCTATTAAGTCAATAATTTTATGTCTTTCTTGTGCACACATATATATTTAGTGTTTGCATAAGACATATAAAGAAAAGTCGAAAATAAAGGCACAATATTGTTCACGAGGAAGTCATTTGATTTTTCCTACAAAAATGTGAATGAATGACTTGTGGAGTGGGTTATTTCCTTAAGAAAAAATTCTGATAAAATTCCAATATAATCGGTAATGAAAAATATACAAAAGAACTCAGCTTATAGCAGTTGTTGGAGCGTTAAAGTTGTTTTTAGTTAATAAAAATGTCTTCAACAGTAGTACGTATTTGGGTTAAAATTGATGACTGTGAGCTCGAAAAAATTACATTCATATCACCAGCTGATATTGCTGATTTAAAAGAAAATTTACTTGGAAAAAATGCAAGACACTATTGTGTGTATTACAATGATGAACAACTAGCATCATCTGATAAAGTTCCAGTTAACTCTACCAGTGAAAAACCCGTATATCTGAGAAAAAATGAAGGTAATAGTTGATAATTGTGACATATTTGATTACTCTTTAAGTGTAGCATTATCAGTAACGCTTGATAATGATTGAAATACCGTTTCTTAGAGTGACTAATTCAATGTCTTCGTTTGTTAGTATAGTTTAAACTTTATTACGAGAGATAAATAATTAAAAAGCCAGATTAATTGTATCCAATGTACATCAAAGCAGTATAAGCCATTATATCAAGTATACATTAGGGAACATTTCAAAATGTAGGACGGTCGCTCGGCCGGTCGCAGGTCATAATCGGCATGAATAATGCCGAAGTTAATAACGCTGTTATTCTCGTTTGTCTCATCAGTTTTTTACTCACATATACATCATACTGGTCATTGCAGGTCATTGCAAAAACTTGCTTTTCTGATGATAATCAGCGATATTCACCGTCAAATATCTCAAAAACTAAAAGAGATCATTTGCTAAAAAAATACATCAGTATGGTGTACAACTCGAGTACTTTAAACTAATATAAACAATGGAATTGGGCCTTCTCTAATTAATGTAATTTTAGTTCGCGAAGTTGGTACAATAGGAAATAATTTTACAGTGAGCACTCTCCTCCTTAAATATATAAAAGATGAACATGATGATGAAAATATAAAATTCGTTCTTTTCTCATTTTATTCTTTAAACAGAAAAACAGAAAATTTTCTCTTACGGGAAGGTCTAAATAGTATCAGAGTAGAATAAACTGTAAAAGAAAAGTACATGTGTATAAAAGAATAATGTTTTAACGGTTTGGACTCAACGGAGATACAAATTATATTCCCAACTGAGATACAATCCATGTTTTACTCAAGTATCTCAGTTGAGAAACCAATATTTCTGTGAAAATATTCGTTTCTCAACTGAGATACATTTTATAAAATATGGACTTCACGATTTTCTCAACTGAGATACAATTTTGACACGTGCGTTGAAACGTGCAAGAGTGCAGTGTACTAATGAAATTAGGTATATGATGTATCTATATTAACTATTTGAAGTAGTTGTACGCAAAGTGGATGAAAATCGCTGAAATTCTTTTAGATCAATTTCATCAACATGCGCCGAAAATTGTGTGTTTTTATGTGCATGGATACCATTCAAACACATTATTTCATCGTTTTTTAAAACAGTTGAACAAGAACAATCATTAACTGTACAAACCCATCTTTCACTTCCATTTTTATTTGTACGTTGATGACGAGAAAGATTTTCTTGAAATAATATGGCAGGAGCACCTCTTTGAGTTTCTTTTCGAACAAAATCCATTTCTTTTTTAGATATGTCTTATCACTATTTCACATTTATACAACTATTGAATAATAGACCTTAGTGCACTCTTGCGCAACTGCACGTTTCAACGCACGTGTCAAAATTGTATCTCAGTTGAAAAAATAGTGAAGTCCATATTTTATAAAATGTATCTCAGTTGAGAAACGAATATTTTCACAGAAATATTGGTTTCTCAACTGAGATACTTGAGTAAAACATGGATTGTATCTCAGTTGGGAATATAATTTGTATCTCAGTTGAGACGTTACGCTTTTAACACATAGCGGTTAATTGCGTTTGAAGACGTAATCAAATCTATTAGAAAAGAAGATGAAGTTCTTGTATAGATTTATATAAAAATTATTATAAAATAAAGTATTATGTAACAGTGTAATACAGGAATAGTCGCGGGATACAGAAAAGAACACAGAAATAGCGGTACTTGAGGTATATTTCTTGTATAGTAGTAAATGGAAATAACAATGATCTCTTCCTCGTTTAATGAATGCATCTCTTGCTTATATGCACAGATACTCGATATTGTAAAAATAACGAATAAATTGGAAGTATATAAATATATATGCCAATGTATGTATCCACAATACAATCAAAGGAACCGAAATTAAACAAAATAAAATAAATTAGAATTTAAATGCGGCAGAACGACCTGCGACCTGGGGACAGCAGAGAGTAAGAGCAACATGTCAATAAACAGAAGAGAAAGAAAAAGAGAGAAATGCGTACAAAGAGAAGACTTTAACAAATAAATGTTTGATACTAGTAATGGTATCACTGGAATTGTTTAGTAGTCGTTTTAATTAAATTAAATTAATCCTTTGTTGGCGGGTTTTTTTTTTGAAAACGTTAAGCTTTTTAAAATAGCGAAAAAATATGTTTATTCAATCAAAAACCATTTTCAGAAGTGTTTTAAGGTATGATAAGAAAATACTCGAGGTGGTATATATACCACGCCCGCCAACAAAGGGTTAAAGATCGAACAATCAGAGTGTAATCATCTTTCTCAAGCGGTACAGATAGTGTCACGAGGGGCACACTCAATGGTCCATCACGTAGTACGTCTTCCTAATCGTTAAGTAAGATTTTTCTATGTTTATTGTACCGAGTACAATAGAGTAAATAATGTTCACTTATCTAATTCTCCTGCAGCATAACGGTCAGTGAAACTTAATATAGAAATCAACATTTAGTTGTGAAAAATCAGTATGAATTTGATAGAAAAGTATGTCGAAGGATATTTTGAACTCTATAAACAGGTGTTGAAGTATAAAGAGTATTTTTCAATGAGTAAATGAAAACTTTAGTACTTTTACGGAATTTTATTCATCTGTTGCATTCATTTATCTTGTTCATCACTGTTACAAACTTTTCTTCAACTTTTTTAAACGTAGTTGTACCAGAAACTACAAGCTTTCTTTCCACCAATGATGTGAAGATACACAATGCCAACATAAAGGATATGGCTAATAGGTAAGACATGTGTGTATTTTATCTTTGCTCGTTCTGTGCGCAGTCAAACATTTACATTTTTGTGTTTTAAGGTTTGCAGATGCCAGTTTAGATGCAGATAGAATAACTAGCGTAACCAGAAATCCAAATAGCCCGCAGCAATTAAGATCCCATACAACTACAAGAACCCATAGAAAAGATGATAATACACAATTTTTGCAAACAATTGATCGGGAACAGTTTGATACTTCGTTTGATGATTTCCATTACGAAAGTGAATGTAGGCGTCATAACTCAGGTGTCCATTTCTCTTGGATGACTCCTAGAACAAGGTGTCAGCATAGAACGTTAGCAAGATGTGTATAAAGAGATGCTCGTTTTGCGAAAGCACTTCGAAAAAAAGAGGCGTGAGAGTCCTAGAATAAAGAAATCACTGGATTAATGCATGATATTTTGTCCAAAGCAATTATCGACAAAAAATGCCATATGACAGCTTCCCCCGGTTCCTAACGAGGAGTTTACCGAAGACATAGTTCTGTACACTGTAATGTCGGGAATTATTTATAGAAAATGCTCGGCGATTTTCAAAAAGTCCATATATAAATTCCCTGAGGATTTTCTAGATTCTAGAAAATCGAATTTACAAGAAACTTGGAAATTCGAAGTCGAATTTCCAGAATT